ATTATTTTAACAAATAATGCTACATTTAAACTAATGAAGTTATTTTGTGTCAAATTATTAAATGATGTAAAAATAAAGTGTTCAATGTTAGTTATTTAAAATTACTTTAACAAATAAAGCTACATATAAACAAGGTGTATTTATTTTATTGGTTTTATTAATAATTAATTAAATAATAGTAATAACATAATCAGATTTGCTTTTCATCACAAACAACATTCACGTCAAAACTCGTTGGATCATTGATCTTCTTTCTCGATCTGCTTCTTCGTCAATTTTCTTCTACCTAGATCTTTTTCTTCGTCTATTTTCTTCTTCCTCGAATTCGTCGGATCTTATTTCTCGGTCTTCTATTTCATTGGATCTTCTTCAGTTAAGAATTTGTGATGTTGATTCCCTAAGATTTTTCACTCAAATTGCTCAAAGAATAAGGTTAGTAATGTTGATTCTGTTAGATTTCTTCTGCTTTTATTGATGAATATACCTAATCTTGCATTTTGATTTTTGTCCCCTCTCGTTAGATGATTCATTAGGTTTTGATTTGATTAAGCTATTTGTTCCTAAAAGTCGTTTCTTATCTTCCTTTATCGTCGTGTTCCAATGTTTCTGGGTTCTCGGCAGAAATCGATTCTGATATTTGTAGCTAATTAGATGATTGGTTTTAGATTACTCTGTTTGAATCATATGAGTGAACTGAAACGAAGCAGAAACAAAACCAGCATCGATTTTCTCTGAATTTACTCTTTAAGATATTTGAAAACCGGATATTCAGATTGTTCTGTGTGATCAATGTCACCAAAATGGATGATTACTTATGTATTTTCCTATTTTTGTAAGGCGTTGGCAAAGCTTCCTTAAGTGATTTCATCTCTGGATATCTCTCATATTTCTACGCCACTCAGAAAGGTCAGTTTTCACATTGATTTAACTAAGCTGTTTGATTATTGTTTGAGAAATGTGAATAGTTGTGAATAGTTTGACTAAGCTGTACGGTTGTGTATTTGAGAAATGTGAATAGTTGTGAATAGTTTGACTAAGTTGTATGATTATGTGTTTGAGAAATGTAAATAGTTGTGAATAGTTTGACTAAGTTGTATGGTTATGTGTTTGAGAAATGTGAATAGTTGTGAATAGTTAAACCAAATCATTTGAGAAATTTGTTAAACATGAATCGATTATATAGTTAACTGAACGTAAACTTTGTTCTACACCAAATCAGTTGAGAAATGTGAACTGTGTTCTACATCATCTTCAAATTGTGTTAAACTTTGAATGAACTTTGATTTATGATGATTCATTTGATTTATTCGTATATGTATTTTGAAATGGATAAATCTTGGATAACCAAAAATCGGTTATCTGAAAACTACATACGTGGAGTCACTGACTTTTGGATTTCGCATTTGAAAATATGAAGACAGACAAGATCAAATGTCCTTGTCAGCGTTGCTGTCTTGTTAGACACAAGCTTAGTGTTGACGTTGAGAGTGATTTAATCTGTCATGGATTTCTTCCAGCATATACAATTTGGTATCTACATGGTGAAGAATTAGAGTCACATGAGAAGACAGTTAGTTTAGAATCTGAAAGTTTAGCTTTTCCCAGTATGAATAATACTGAAGACCCGACTCTCAATCTGCTAGAAGATGTTTTTCCAGTATGAATAATATTGAAGACCCGATTATGGATAATAGTTTTAACTCTGAATCTGCTAGTCCCAAAGAAGATCATTCGAAGTAAAAAGAGGCCCTTAATGATTTGTTATCAGACTGTTATCAAGCTCTTTATGATGGATGCCAGTCTTTTAGCAAGTTATCATTCATGCTTAAGTTTTATCACATCAAGTGTATGTCTAGGATAAGTGACAAAGGAATGTCCATGATAATTGACCTCTTGAAATACGCATTTTATCATGCAAAGCTGCCAGACTCGTTAAATGATATGAAGAAGATTATTCGTAAGTTATGATGTACATATGAGATCTTTCATGTGTGTCCTAATGATTGCATGCTTTATTGGGGAGATGATGCATCTGGACACACATGTAAAGTTTGTGAAAGTTCAAGATGGAAGACATCTACGGCAGTTGATGATACATCTGTGGAGGTTGATAAAAAGAAGAAGAAGAAAAGAAAGTAACAAGCTGCTAAAGTTATTAGATATTTTCCTCTTAAACCACGGTTGTAGCGTTTCTTTATGTCATCCAAGACTGCTGAATAAATGAGGTGGCAAGATAGTTCTGAGAATAAAGATGGTAAGCTTAGGCATCCTAGAGATGGAATAACTTGGAAAACATTTAATCAGGAATTTCCAGAGTTTGCATCAGACCCAAGGAATGTCATGCTAGGATTAGCAAATGATGGTTTTAATCCATTTGGTTCTTTGAGCACAAACTATAGTGTATGGCCTGTGTTTTTATTCCCTTATAACTTTCCTCCTTTGATGTCAATGAAGCAAACATCAATGATTCTTTCAATGATAATCCCTAGGAAACATCAGCTGGGTAATGATATTGATATCTACCTACAGCCTCTTATCCAGGAACTAAGAGAGTTATGGTATGATGGAGTACCAACCTTTGATGCCTCTTTAAAAGAAACATTTTCTATGCGTGCGGTTTTACTATGGACTATTAGTGATTTTCCAGGTCTAGAAAATTTATCTGGGTGAAGCATTTACACAGGATTAGCTTATCCTTCTTGTAACTATGATGCTACAGAACTCCGTCTACGCCATGGGAAGAAGAATTGTTACATGAGAGATAGACATTTTCTTCCTGAAAGTCATTGTTTTCGAAAAGATAAGCAGCATTTTGATGATTTTATTGAAAGAAGGATCTCTCCTATTACACCATCAGGAAGTGTTATTCTCCAACAAATTGAAAATGTTGATGTTACTTTGGGGAAGAAGATTGATTCTGTTGGAAAGAAGGATGCCGAGTAGAAGCTGGAAAGAACCAGTGGAGAAAGAGGAGTATATTCTTTGAATTACCTTATTGGAAACATCTTCTTTTGCGACACAATCTGGATCCGATGCACATCGAGAAGAATGTATTTGATAACCTCATATTTACCTTACTGAATGACAAAGACAAGTCAAAAGACAATCTCAGTGCCAAGAAAGATTTGCAAGAGCTTGGTATACGTGAGGAGTTGTGGTCTGATGAAAATGGTAGGTACCTTCCAGCTTGTTTTACAATGACTATGTCTGAGAAATATAGATTTCTAAACATATTGAAGAATGTAAAGCTCCCAGATGGATATTCTTCAAATATTTCCAGGTTTGTTGATATAAATCAAAGAAAAATGGTTAAAAAGTCATGATTGTCACATCTTAATTTGTCACTTGTTGTCTATCTCCTTATGTAATTTTTTACCACGTGAGGTCTCATTTGTTATAACAGAGTTATGTCAGTTTTTTTGGGAAATCAGCTTAAAGTACTTGACATTGAAGATATCAATAAGTTGCAGAAGCATATTGCACTTACATTGTGCCATTTAGAAATGATCTTTCCTCCATCATTCTTCACAGTAACGGTGCATTTAACCATTCATCTAACAGAAGAAGTGAAACTGAGAGGTCCAGTTCAATTTTGATGGATGTATCCAGTCGAAAGGTAAGTATTAGTTGGTAACTATTAGTTGAATCTTAGTGTTTATTGAGCCTTTGTGTTTATTGATCTATAGGTTTGATTTTTGTTTATAGGATATTTGGACATTTTAAGTCATATGTTCGAAACCGAGCTCGACCTGAAGGTTCTATATGTGAGCAATATATTGCTGATGAATGCATTACATTTTTCTCTATGTATCTTGAGGGAGTGGAAACACGTTTTAATCGTGTTGGGAGAGTGGATGTAAACCTATGGTTCCACATGAGTTGGGTTTCAGTCATGTATTCCACTTAATTTTCCTGCAGTTGGGAGATCAGTTGGTGCTTCTATGTTGGACACACTTAGTTCATATGAACGTCAGCAGGCCCATCGATATATCCTAGTCATAGTTCATTTTTAGATGACTATCGAGAGTAAGATTTCCACTTCAGTATGCTTTGATGATTTGGTGTTTTGATGATTTGGGGATTTGATTATGTAGGTTATTTAAGAGAGATTTAATAAGGTCACAGTCACGGCGTCGGAAAAGAGGAACTATGATAGATATAGATCGACATGTGCATCTCCATTTTAGTCAATGGCTTAAGCAAAAAGTAGAGAAGAATGGCCTTGATGGTATTTCTGATGATATTCGATGTCTTGCACTAGGTCCATCTGATAAGATTTTAAAGTTTTCAGCATATAATATCAACGGTTTTAAGTTTAGAACTATAGAAAGGGATCAAGATTTAAAAACTCAGAATAGTGGAGTTTTTGTTTCAGCTGAGACTATTAGTTATGCAAAGTTCTCATGATCTTAATTTCTAGAGTTGGGGAGGTTTCTTACTATGGGAAGTTGGTTGAAATCATAGAAGTGAAATACTATGATTCGTTTAGAGTTGTGTTGTTCAAATGTAATTGGGTTGATACTCGTGATGCTCGAGGATATAAGAAGGATGATCTCGGTCACACTATGGTAAATTTTTCCCGTTTAATACACATTGGAAACGGTGATGAAGATTAACCTTATGTGTCGCCTTCTCAGGCTAGGTTGGTTTACTATATAGAAGATCCACAAGAAAAAAGGATGGAGTATTGTTGTACATGTCTAGCCAAGAGACTTGTATGACATGGGTGATCCCACTATTTCAGAAGAAGATGAAATTATGATCGAAGTTCCTCCTGACAATATTCAAAGATCATTAGGGTTTGAAAATGTTCTTGACATTAGATTAGTGAAACAAATAGAAAATTTGGCAATTCTCAGATTTCGTATGATATGGAGGTTAAGACTCTGCATTTTACTTGCTACATTTCATGATGACTCTGAACTTTACTTGCCTTACATTTTATGACAATCGTTTTACTTTCTTTACATTTCATGACAATCGTTTTGCTACTTTCATAGGTATAAATATGTTTGGAGCTGAAGATTTCATAGCACCACCTCCTCTTGGACCAGAATTAGCAAGTAGAAAATGGAAAGTTCGCATCATAGGTGTGTAAGCTTCTGCTTTGTCTCATAAGTTTTTTATGATTAATATGAGATGGTGATGTTTCTTGTGTGTTTAGATGGTGATGCAAGAACTACAGAGGAACGAATTTCTGGAAAAGAAGTGTGGAGCATGCTAAACCGACAGGTTATGGTTAATGTCAATAGAAAAGGGCAGGCTATCAAGGATTCTGGAGGTTTGTTTGGTTTTTGGTTAGGCTCACTAAGTAATGATTTTAATCTACTACTGATCAATTACACAGATTGGAGGAAAGTTTCTAATTACAGGAAAGAGATGGCTTGGAAAATAATTCAGGTAATGGAAAGAGATTTGTTATTCTGGTTTGATGATAATGACTGTTTTATGCTTTAAGTAACTGTTTCCTTTATCATACAGAACAAATTCTGGTTTGATGACCCAACAAGGAGGAAGAAATATGTTCTATATACTCTAGGATGTAGATATAGAGACTTGAAGCAACGTCTTTGGGATGCTCATAGACGAAACACGATACAAGAAGCATTTGAAGCGCGACTGGGTCTAGTTCCAGAAGATAAATGGAGAGAGTTTGTGTAAATGCAATTCACTGATAAGGCAAAAAAAATGAGAGAGCGTAGTATTAAGAGTCGAAGCAAACATAAGATGCCACATGCCGTTGGTAAAAAGAGTTTAGCCAGAAAGGCTCATGAGATGGTAAGATAAGTTTAGAGTGACTTACGTTTCTCTTTTTCCTACTGAATTCATTAGCACTTACGGTTCTCTTTATCCTACTGAATTCATTGCATCCGTTTATTTACTAAGAAGAAGAGACATGCATAGAACCAAGTCGAAGTGAGCTTTTCATTACATCACGTACTAGATCAGATGGAAGTTTTGTTTGTAACGAAGCAAGAATCTCTGTGGTAAGTTCTTTGTCTCTTTTAAAAATTTTATGTGGTCATTTTCTCTTTAATATCGCTTATGTTATGTGGTCGTGTGTAGTTAAAGCTGAAACAAGTAATGACCGAGAATATTCAAAGTGAAGCATATGATGCATTTGAACAAGTATTTGGTCCTGAGCAACCCGGACGAGTTCGATGTGTTGGACGTGGTCCGACACCATCCAAGTACTTCTCTAATTCAGAATGCAATTTGTCAACTACTACTGAGATGATATATATAAACTCTGAAATAAAAGGATTAGCTGATAAACTAGATTTTGTGGCTAATGTTGTGTATGCTCTAATTGAATCAAGAAAGCAAGAACATGTCCAAATAAGTTCTTTGTGATCTTTAAGTTATTTACATGTTATATTTCTTATATGTAACACTTTATTTGCAATTTCAGGCGAACGCAAGAAATGAGAACACAAAGCTTAAGATAAATCTTCATCAATCATCTAGTATCAACAGTGATCAGATAACAAAGTTACACTTAAACGTTGTAATTTATCTATATCAATCTTCATATCTTCTATATAACACAAACGTTGTTATTTATCTACAATTTCAGGAAAGTGGCGTTTCAAAGATTTGAATTTGAGTTATGATTTGGATTTCAGAAACTGGTATATTCCTTTTACTTTGTTGTTGTATCTATGATGTCTTTTGTTGTGACTATATCTTGGTTAGAGAACATTGACATATATATCTTTTGTTGTGGCATAAACATAGAAAAAAATGGTTAGAGAATATAGACATACAAAGAAATGGTTTGAGAACATAGTTGTTTGTGATCTTTTAGTCATTTATAATGCTCTGTTTTTGACTTAAGATTCTGTTTTTGTTTGTGATCTCTTGCTGTGTTTTTAATTTGAGGTTTTGACTTCTGGTTCTGTTCCTCCGACTTCTGGTTGTGTCTCTTTCCCTTCTTTTTCTTTTTTTTTTCCTTCACTTTGATTTCTTTTTGTTTCTCTTCACTTTTCTTTTTTTTTTACTTCTAATTTATTATCAAAACTGGATTGTAATGTAAAATTTTGTAATTTAAATCTTGGTTTAAGTGTTATTATATAAAACAAATGTTACCAACTGTTATTATAGTTAATCTAGTTAATATAGTTAATTTACCAAATGATAGAAAATTGATATTAGTTTAAAATGACAGTAAAAATAAAAAATTTAAAATTATTTTTATGAGTAATGCTAAACTTAGTGTGATTTTTGTAAGTGATGCTAACAATTTTAACATCATCCATTGTTGTATCATTTTAACAAATGACCCAAGTTTTTAAAGTTAATTAATAAATAATATTAACTACCTAAAAAATGACTTTAAAAACCTTTTTTTTAGTAGTGAGGAAAGTTTGTTTTGTTTTTGATATCTCATATTTTATGCAAACAGAATATAAAAACAGACAAATTAGTACAGAATGCTCGAATATATATATATATATATTTATCATTTAAATATTATATAAACTCAATTCTATCAACTTTAACTTACTGAACCGTTTTACGAATATGAAACTGCTACAAAAGAAAAAAAATCAGCCATCTAATTATTGGTTCAGCAAGCTAAAATCCAACCCGCCGGTCAAGAGCTTCATTTGAAAAATTTGTAACCGGTTTACTTTAACCGTCTCCAATTCTTGCTAACCAACCAAACCAAAAAGTCAGGATTCTCGACAAAAATATTCATTTGCAATTTCTGAGATTCAAAACTTCGAATCTCTTCAACCTTATCATCATCTCCAAATTCAAATCGAAGCCATGGAGTCCTACAAAACCCTAGAAATCATTCAGAAGACCCCAGATTCATCCGTGTTTCATCTCATCCTCAACAGGCCATCGCAACTCAACGCCTTGTCCCTCGATTTCTTCGTCGACTTCCCCAAAGCTCTATCATCCCTCGACCAAAACCCAGATGTCGCCGTCATCGTCCTTTCCGGCGCCGGGAAACACTTCTGCTCTGGCATCGATATCAATTCCCTCTCTACAATCTCGGAACGATCAGAGTCTGGCGACAGAGGACGCTCGAGCGAACTGTTACGCCGAAGGATCAAATCGATGCAGGCCGCGATCACCGCCGTGGAACAGTGCCGTAAACCTGTTATCGCCGCTATACACGGCGCGTGTATCGGAGGCGGAATTGATCTTATCACCGCTTGTGACATTAGGTATTGCTCCGAGGACGCTTTCTTCTCGATCAAGGAGGTTGATCTCGCGATCGTCGCGGATTTAGGTACCCTCCAGAGGCTGCCGAGCATCGTCGGGCACGCAAACGCCATGGAATTGGCGTTAACGGCTCGACGATTCTCGGGACGTGAAGCGAAGGATCTTGGTCTTGTTTCTCAGGTTTTTGGATCTAAGTCGGAGCTGGATAAAGACGTCACGACGATCGCCGAAGGTAAATCACATTTTTCAATATGATTTTTTTACTGATTTTGGTTCGGTTTGATTCTGGAATGTGATTATCAATTTTTGCTGGATTTGGTTCGGTTTGATTGAATTAAGAGTTGTCAATTTTTGTTTTCAGGAATAGCAGCGAAGTCTCCTCTAGCTGTGACAGGGACAAAGGCAGTGTTATTAAGAAGCAGAGAGATGAGTCTAGAAGAAGGTCTTGACTACGTAGCAACTTGGAACTCGGCTATGCTTATATCAGACGATCTTATTGAGGCTGTCTCTGCTCATATGACGAAAAGACAACCTCGTTTCGCAAAACTGTGATAAGAGAGTCTGTTATTTTGTTTTCTTGTCTCCTAAAGACCAACTCCTCCGGTAACAAAACAATAAGGTCTTATTTTTTTGGCAAAGAACTTTAGCTATTGCTATTTAGTTTCTACAACAGCTAGAATAATTTGATTTGGGTTTGAAGATATATATGTTAGTTAATGCTAGCCCTCATCAATGTTCATGAGTTTCTGTGTGACATTGTGTTTTGTCTCCATTCGTTTGTCATAATATCAAGAAATCTGAGTAAAAAGGATGTGAGAGCATCAAGCGGCATGTGTTATAACGGTGATGAGTTAGTCTTGGGATTTGATTTCAGATCTCATCTTAATCATTCAAGTTCTTTTAACTGCACTTGGATTAATCTTTGATCAAGTCACTCGAACTTCCTATCTTCCAAACTTGAATCTCGATCATTCCGATTGATTCATCATTTACATGATGGCCAAGTCTATTGAACATTTGGAATCTTTTTGACTGAAGATGATCTTTGATTAGAACTTGATCATCACCCTTGATCCAGTTTAGTCTGATCACCCCAAAGGTTCTATCCATGTTCGAGTGGGTTAAACTGGATAACAGTCTATCTGCGATTCAGTGTATGATCTAGTTTGTTCAGTACATCCATTCAACTAGACATTGGTATTATAAAACATACAAACTGCGCCAATTCTTTTCTCATGGTTATTTGTGTAAAGCTTCAGTACGTACATAACAAATAATAATGGGAAAACAATCTATTTCTCCATAAGAAGTATTATATGATTCACACACACCAAACTAAAGTATAATGTTATATATCCCCGAAAATAAAGTTGTAGATCTAATTACACTTGTATTGAAAGTTTAAAACTTGTATCTCCCTGAAAATCATAATTAAAAATCTCAAAACCCACAAACATTGTTTTACTATTAACCAAACAAACCACTAACCACATAAATATAATATTATCCAAATTTAAACCAATTACAACAGTAAAATCTTCAAACCAGACCAGTTTTCACAATTTGATTTGTGGTTTTGGGTCAACAAATATTTCAGGAATTGTCGGCTTCATGAGTTCGTGGGAATTGGAGGATACCGTCGTCAAAGCAGGAGCCAGTAGCTGTAGAGCAGAGCGAGCATGGGTTGCGAGGAGCCAAGCGGCTAGAAGAGAACAACACCGGCTCCCGTCAAGTTTTCTCCGACAAGCTTCGTTAACTCGACGGAATAGCTCATCGGAGTGGTCAAGACAACAACTTTCTTAGATTCACAAAGGAAAGCAATTTTTCATTATTGGCCTGTGTAATTTAATCAAACCAAAAAGATTTTTTATAACAAACATTGAAATCTTTGATTTTGTGGTTACATAGAGAAACCGATTTGTTACAATCGAAATTATATCCAGAACTTTTTCCAGATTTCCTTATAGAGCGAATGATAAAAATGATTTCTGCAAATATTTGTTCTGTTTCTCTCAATTGCTTTCATCTTATTCTTCAAATACTCTGATATACCCAACCCCTCTCTCTCTCTCAGTATGTAGCAATGGTTTTGATTTTTGCAATTCCCTTGGATGTATAATTTTGATCGCTGTTTCAATTTAGTGGAAGGAGGGAGGAGAGAAGAAGAGGGGAGGAGTCAAGGAGACGAAGAAGAAGATGATTTTTTTGTTTTTTCTAATTTTTGTTTTCTGGTTATAAATTTAATTCGGTTTAATATAAAATCTAATGGTTTAATATTTGGTTTAGATCATAAACCGTTTAAACCAACATAGATAAGTATGATCTTTTAAACCATGAATTAGGAGGAAAAACGGCCAATTCCACCATAAACTAATATATTCCTGATTATTCATACATCAATTATGTAGTAATGTTGAAAGCTACATGAACTATTGAAAAACGGTCAATTCCACCATGAACTAATAAATTCCTAATTATTCATACATCAACTATGAAGTAAAGCTGAAAACTACATGAACTATTGAAATATTTGAATTTCCATCATAACCTTTAGAATTATGGTCGAAACCAACAATACTGTAGACGTCATACTGACGCGTGGTTACTCAAAACGACGTCGTTTTGTAATTTGAGTGTGAAAAACACAAAACTTCGTCATTTTGGCTTATGTCGGGAATTAACCAAAAAAAGTTTCTCTTCATCGTTTTTTCTGGTTTGGGAGAAATTTTCACAATATCAGAACTTAAAACCCTAGAAGCAATCAAATGATATTTGGAGTAACGAAGATCACTGCAAAAATTTCTAAAATCTGATATTAAGCAAAAACTTTGTCTGGAGCAATGAGGATCACTACAAAATTTCTAGGATCTGAAATTAACCAAGAACTTTGATTGCTTCTAGGATTCTAAGATCTGAAATTGTGAAATTTTCCTCCTCTCCTTCCTCAACCTCTACCGACATCATTTGATTGCTTCTAGGATTCTAAGATCTGAAATTGTAAAAATTTTCCCCAAACCAGAAAGAAACGATGAAGAGAAAGTTTTTTTGGTTAATTTTCGACATAAGGCAAAACGACGTGGTTTTTATGTATTTCACACTCAAATTACAAAACAAAATTTTTTTGAGTAACCACGTGTTGGTTCAGTCATCAACAACTAACGGCCAAACTCACGACGTTTGTATTGTTTGTTTCAACAACAATTCTAAAGGTTATGGTGGAAATTCAAACATTTCAATAGTTCATGTAGTTTTCGGCATTGCTTCATGGTTGATGTATGAATCAGGAATGTATTAGTTTATGGTGGAATTGGCCGTTTTTCAATAGTTCATGTAGTTTTCGGCATTGCTTCATAGTTGATGTATGAATAATCAGAAATGTATTAGTTCATGGTGAAATTGGCTGTTTTCCCTCAATTAGGAAGATATAAGTCTACAACTTTATTTTCATGAATATATTGCATTAGGCTTTAGTTTGATGTGGATTTGGTGATATGTAATAATGAGAAATGAACCTTAAAAAATTTATCTTGTTCAGATTCGGAATAACTATTAAAAAAAAATTTAATAATTTCTAGAAACAACTTTATCCTTTATACAAAGCATGAATGCTTAAATTATTCATCACTAATATCAGTGGAATGGATGTGGAAGTTTACGGAAGTGGATAGTTACACATAAATTCAGGACCGGTTTATTATTTTTGATGGCTTTTGGGCAAAAAAAAAAAATTCATGTTCAAATAATTGATGAAAACACAGATTTGAGAATAGTTGAACAAACCACAAAATTGGGCTCCAATAACTGATAAAACATAAGTTTGGGCTTTAATATTAATTAATTTTGGAGATGGATCCCTGAGGGTTGTACTATTTGACTCCAAATAAACTGCTTCTTTTAAATATTACTACGTAAATATCTGCGCTATGCTGCGAATATGTATTTTAGTTTTTTATCTAACTGAATTTCACCTCGACAAAAGTATAATTTATTATATCAACCTCTAAACTAATACAATGATTCATCACTTAAATGACATCCTACATATGTCAAAAAAAATTGACATTCCACTTTTGATTAATAAATAAAATAAAATTTATATTTTCAAATCTTCCAACATTAAAAAATGATTGCTTTTCTCTGTAGTAGTCCATTGCTAAGCATCATACTGCTTCGAGAAAGGTTAAGAATAAGAACAATGCACAATTGCACTTGTGTTTCAGATTTGGCTGATGGAAGCCACCATGTCCCTTGACCATAAACCTGAAATAGTTTAGCATTAGTTGATTAGTACTAAAAATGATTTCTCATTAAAATTTTTTTTTCAAAAACTAAAGTAAATATCTGAAATTCTATATATAACCACATTTTACTTTATTACAATATTTAGAAACCCGATCCAGATCGTCCAGTTAAACTGAGACCTGCTCACTATCACAAACTGGTTTTAATCTTTAAATCCGTAACTTATTTAATTGAGAAAATCAAGAAAAACCTGTGAGTAATCTGTAAACCATTGACCTACCAAACTAGTTGAATGAGCAAATTTATTTTTAAAATTTTAAATCCTTTTAATGCAAATAATTTCTGATTAAAATATAAAGTTTTGTTGGTTATTTTAAGTTTCTTTTTTTAACTTTAAACTTCTTCTTTGTCGTCTAAGAATAAATTTTGTATCTTCCGAATTAACAAAAACAATATGTCTCATTTCCTCTAACTCTTTTTAATGGTAAACTCTATAATAATATATTAAATAAACTATGTGGCTTTTTTCTTTAAAATTTAATGAAAATTTCACTATGCCACTTGAAGAATGAGAAATGGCCATGGAGATAATTAAGATTTGTTGTTGTGATTTTTTTAATTTTTAATAGTTTTATTATTTATTTTAGTTAAATTTGAATTTAAAATATTTAATCATTTTAATATTTTATTATTATTATTAAAAATCTATATTTTGTTAAAACTGGTATAAAGTTTGCCTTATATTTATATTTTCAAAACTATATAGTATATGTGTATTATATAAATGTTTATTTATTAGTTAATTTCATATGAAAATATTTGATTGCTTTAAGAGATACTTGCAAAAATGACCTAAATTTGATTTGAATTGCAAATCTAACCCACAAAAATCACCTTTCCAACATTTGCCATTTTGTGTCCAAACAATCCCTCATAGTTTCAGTTATTCACGAAATTGCCATTGTTTTTAATTAATTTTATTTATTTTCGGAAATTCAATTGACCAACTAATCCTCATCTTCCTCACTTATTTACGAAAATGCCATCATCATCAATTCACCCAACCACCATTTTCAACCAATTTTGAAGCTTTAATGGTGGCAAAAACCCATTTTTGAGTTTGTTGAGCTCATTATTTTCCCTTTAAGTTTCTATTCTTCCATTTCTTCTCTATTTTTTTCCCAAAAACTCTATAATTTGTCTATTAAAAAGTTGAAGTTCATAAAAATTTCTATATTCCGGCGATTTGGTTGTTTGTTGCGGTTGTGCTTCTTTCATTGTGGCTAGGATCGAAGATCTTGACCAGAAAAGAAGCTAAAGACGAGTGGTAAGTCGGATTTTCAGTCAATTTTCGTGTTTTTCAGTTCTGGGCTCCGAAAGTAGACTTCACTCGGTCCGAATGAAGTCTACTAGTCAACGCCCAGGTTAGTTTTGCAATTGACCGCATGAAAAAGTAGACTTCTTTTGGTCTGAATGAAGTCTACTCCATTTCATTTGATAACAAAAAAAATGGAGTAGACTTCTCGAGTAGACTTCTTTAGAAGCAGGTCATTTTTGCAATTGACCAACCTTTGACTTTTCAGAGTAGACTTCTCTATGAAAAGTAGACTTCTCGGAGAAGTCTACTTTTCATAGAGAAGTCTACTAATATTTTGGCAATTGC